TTAGAAATGTTTGTTTACATCAAAATTTCCAAAAATTTTTACTAACAGTTGATACTTGGAAAGAGTAATACATCCAGCTGAAAATTTTCATAGCTCACTTATTAGATTCAAACCCTTATCCTCTCAGTATTGTCTATGTGATGCTTAGCCAGTTACTTTGTGAAACTATGCCTTAATTTCTTCATCTATAGAAGGACAGCATGTGGTTTTCTGTTGGAATTTAATGATGATACATATAAAGCACTTGGCATGATTAAATACTCGTAATTCTTGAATTGCAGAATAATGCAGATAATAATTGTGAGAATGGATACCTAAGAAGGGTATAATTGTATATCATATGCAGCTCTGGAGTGGTAGTCCTTAAATCAAACGGATTGATGAATGACTGTGTTGGAATTCACCAGTGAAAACAACTCCTGTCCTTGACTGTGTAACATACTTGTAACAGTAAATATAATTTGTAGGCTTCCCAAATTCAAAGCCCCATAATGGTTGTGTATGTTTTTAGAGTTTCTAAATAGCCCATCACATGCAGGATGGGTGATACATGCTGTACTAGAGGATGCCACAGGATAACTGAGAAAGCAGAGGGAGCTGAGGAAACCCCTGCAGGTTTGTAGGCTTCTGGAGGTGTGAAGACTGAGCCTTTGCCACCCAGACCTTGTGACCTGGGGGTGTACTCTTTGGCTCTACCTTAAGACAAAACATTTATTCTAAAAAGATTCCATGCTTGCTAAAGTCCAATAAGCACTTGTCCAAACCATTAGGAAGCCATTGATTTAAACATTAAAAAAGTCCAGTCCTTTGGAGTGTAAAACTAAAAGACATTCTTGTGCCCTAAGAGGTATATCTAAAGCCATTGCTGAAACCATTGCTAGTACTGACCACATTTATGTTCTGAAATAATTGAAGGCCAAGGCTGATGGCTATTTTCATACTTTTATAGTGTCATATAATTAAGATCAGGTGTGATTTCTCATTCTGTTTAATACTGAACTCAGTATTTGAGACTTTTTTATGTTAAAAAAAATATGTAAGACACAAAAATGAGGTCTAGATGTGAGAATGTATTTACCAAAAAGGCAAATGACAAACTCTTATGGTTGTGGTTTTTTTTTTTTTTTTTTACTGTTATCTCCCTTTCTTCTCTACCTTTTTAGTTGTTTTTACTTTCTCTCAGTTTCGCTGGGTGTTTTATAATCGTGTTGGCTTTGCAGAGAATGTTGGGATGGTGAGGTGATGGTGCAGGCTGGACTTAAAGGTGTGAAGTTGCCCATGAGGCACCAGATCGCCTCTGGCTGCTCCTAAAACTGAAGGTAGTCTTGGACTCTAGTAGTGAAATTGGTTACATTTAACAACCAGCAGTAGAATTTGACTTTTAATAGAGAGTTGGTCATATCTGCCATTATCTTGATTTCTACCCCATAGACTTGTGATTCCTATGTACTTACTTGGTTGGTAAATTTACCTGCGCTATTGGCCACAAGGAGAAAGAAGGTTAATGCTAACTTTGAATAATTGTTGAGGTTAAATACTTATTCTTCAGAACTAATTCAGTCTCTGCCAGATGGTATTTTAAAAAATTTTTAGGATTTGTAGTAAATTGATTCTATTTAGCTCTCTATAATTTATAGTCTCCTGATTGTTACCTTTTAGAGTAATATATTTTGTCTCATCTTCCCAGATGTGGAACACCTATGAAAACTCATATAATATATATCCTATCATTTTATCATAGCAGTTACAATAATATACATAAACTCTATGATTTCTGACCTATTTTAATGTTCCCATGTCAATTGTATTGACATATTTGCAGAATTGAACTTGGGATATAAGGGTTAGTCATATTAACCCTTTGGTAGTTTAAGAGCATATATAGAATACCTTGGGATAGATTGCCTTTTTTTTTTTTTTTTTTAATGTGCTAGGAAATCCAAAAACAAAGGAGATTTGTCCATAGGATGAGGATGAGGGTGTTTTGTATTCCAAGTGAATTGAGGAGCAGTCAGAGGGCTCAAGATACTATTGGTAGGATTAGTGTATTTTATAGTATAGTACATTGTTTACTGATGAACTAATTCATATATACATTCATGCTGAAAAAGACAGTAGATTCTCAGAAGGAAAAAAAAAAAAGCGTTGAATAGCTGCTGAACAGAGAACTTAGCAGAGAACAAAAACAGCATGGCTTCTTCTCCAGATTGGTCAGGGTGAGTGCTGTGGAGCAGAGCCAGGACAGGGTGTTGCTGTGCCACTGCAGAACACATACCGTGCAGATGGGGCCGACCTTTTTGAATGGTTGTGCAAGTTCTGTTTGATCAAAGCTGAGATCTGAGGGATAATTTATAACTAAAGTTTGATAATTATAACTGTATTTCGGTTTTAAGGTTTAAAGAATATTTTAGGTGATTTCTTCTTTGTCAAAATATGTATATATAATCATAATTTTCTTTAGTTACTATAAAATTGCACATAATCTGTCTTCCAATGTCTTATGATAATATACTTATTAAAATTCATAGTGTAATTACCCAAGCTTTTATTATATAAATTCTTCATAGCAGTTGAGTAGTTTCCTAGTTATCACCAAAATGGCATCCAAACATTCTTGATCTATAAAGCCCTTCATCTGGTTTATCCATGTTATATGAAATGTAAATGCTTTTGGAAATGAAATAGTTTTGCCTCAAAGCTAACTTTTTAAATTGTGATGAATAATACATAATCACAAGAAAATTCTTATTCATGAAAAAAATCAATATTATTTTTATCTTAGAGTATGACTTTTTATTATGTATCTTGAGAATGGTCTACAGACATCACACTAAAAGATATACCAAAAGAAATTAGAGATGAGCACTCATATCCTCCTAGAAAAGCCAGTGGAAATATTGAGAAAAGTAAAGTTAATTATCTCTTGCCCCAGCTTTCTGTGCAACTAAATAATGTTATAAGCAGTGAGACACCCCAGTTGTTGATGCCACAGATGTGGTGAGGGAAGTAGCTGATGGCTTATTTGCAGTGCTGAGGAAGGCCTGCTGGACTGGCAGTGCTCAATGCCTGACCTGCAGGAGGAGGAGCAGGAGCAGAAGTCGAAGTAGCCATGGAGAGCTGGAGTAGCAAAGGGTTCTGAGTCTGTTGGGCCATGATTGGGAAGAGCTAGGCATGTTTAAAGGACAGCAAGGAAGCCAGGGTAGCTAGGTTGGTTTACCAGCAGGGAGATGTGTCCATAGGATGAGGATGAGGGTGGTTTGTATTCCAGTGCACTGAGGAGCAGTCAGAGGGCTCAAGATACAATAGTGATGTGCTGGAGGAGACTTATATGTTTCTGGAAACTTCCTCTGGCTGCTGGGGGCAGATGGACCAGGGGCGAAGAACTGGAGGAGACCTCAGTGGGCAGGAAGTATAAAACCTAGTGGGTGGTTGCATGGGGTGGGGTAAGAGGGTGGGAGCCAGCAGGAGGCTGCTGGCAGTGGCAGTGCAGGGCATAGACCTGAGACAAAGCTCAGAGGTTCTGGTCTTGGTGATGACTGGATTGAAGGAGTGGTGGGAAGAGGATGATACTATTTAAAATTTGTGCTTCATCCCTGGGAAGCTCTAGCACTTCAGAGTCAGGTGGAGGAAGAATATGCATATGAGATGGAGAAAGATCAGCAGGGTGGGCAGTACCTGTGAATGTGCTGCTGCCACAAAATGAAGCAGAGCTGTGTGCAGATGTCAGGGCTTGATTAAAATAAGAATAGAAAGGACTTTTGCTGCATAGTGATTACCAGAGTCTCTGAACCAGCACAGTAGGGAACCAGAGACACAGTTGAAGGTTCATTCAAGGTGGTTCTCATGTTGTGGTTGTGTCTCTGGTAAACTGAGTGTGGAAAAAGCTGGGTTAGAGATTGGATGGTCTGGGAAAAAACCCAGAATATGACTGAAGACCAAACAGTAGTTTGTGCTGGAGATAATGTGTTGAATGGGCTTAAAATGGTTGTGGCTATAGTTTATGAATTAAAAATGAAACCAGTTTCTCCCTCCTATTTTTTTTTTCCCTTCAAAACACTGTTATTTCATTAACCATCTTTCTTCCTACGTGGAATAGTCAAAACTCGTGTTTCTTGTTTTAATTCATGTGTCATTTTTATGTAATTAATGGTATTCTTATTTATTTAGTTTGGTAATCTAGAAACCTGGTAAGTACTGTGAACAATGTCTTTAGTTTTGGTTATTAAAGTTAACAGCACATATCATTGAATTACCAAATACAAAATAAGTTCTTAGTTGTTTTTTCTTTTTTCCCCTCTCTGAAAGTTACTTTCTTGGAGAAAATTTAAACATTTTTCTTTATGCTCTTTATCATCTTCATCAGATTAATTCTAGATTATTGATGAATGTTGCTTACTTGGAAGTATAATGCCTTAGTTTTTTTTTTTTTTTAACCTGTTTTTTTTTTTTTTTAAAGACTATTTCCCATGTAGTTTATTAGGTACCTTAGGCATTTTAATTTGCAAATTTAGGACAGTTTGCTTGAATATTTCCTCACTTTTCATAAAATTTTGTCCCTATTTGTAAGATATTCATGCTACTAAATAAAAAATAAAAATTTACAACTAATGACCATTGAAGGAAGTGTTACTAAACACTAAGATTTTGTTATTTGCATTTCAAGGTTACATACTAACATTTCATGGTTTAAAGTGTGTACATTTATTGATCACTCATGTTTCTGATTGCATTTTTTGGCCTACTGGTTTGGTTATAATAGGTTATCACATTCTTTGATGTTAGCAGTTTGACATTTTCAGCACAGTGATACTTGACAGAAGAAAATATCCCCAAATAGTTCTTCTATTAATTCTTCATGTGATTGACTTTTTTGTGTGCTATTATTGTAGTTTATGAGTCACTGTTGGTGTCATATAAACCTCGATTTTTAATGTCTTATTATAGTGATGTTTCAACCAGAATAAAATATTTAATGTAAATTATAGCTGCAAACATATAAGTATGAAGTCACTGTGATAAGTTTATTTTCCCTATCTTGAAGCAATATGTCCTAAATTTCCATACGTTTGCATTTGTTTTTGCTGTTCGAAGATTCCTTAGTTGCTGGCTTTGATCTTTTATGTTGCTAAGTTTTATACATCTATTTTCTCACCTGCCATATCCTAGGGGGCTTGGAGTACCCATAATACAGTGAGCCCACCTTCCTGGTCCCCAGACATTTCAGAAGGTCGGGAAATTTTTAAACCCAGGCAGCTTCCTGGCAGTGCCATTTGGAGCATCAAAGTGGTAAATAAAATTGCATTTACATTCATGTATCATTTCTTTCTGGTTTGTTTTATCCTATTGGATGTTAAGAATCAAACTTGTCTTTTCTAGATTTAGCTTTCAGAGCCACTTTTTAAATCTTAAAATTTCTTAAAGAAGTAATATGCTTTCATTGTAAGATCTAGAATACGAGAGTTAATTGTAGTTCTACAAGTGTAATTTTTAGTGACTCTGTTTATGGTTGACTCCTTTAGTTACTAGGCAGTGTTTCTGTAAGGGGGAAGTCCTTGTCACACAGGTCACTCCATGATCAAGGAATCGTTTCTTCATGACATCATAACATTTCTGTTCCTTAGAAAAGAACAGAGGGAAAAGCTCCATTAATCTATTATGTATTAAGGGAGGAGAAGTACCAGAATTGCATCAGATTTCATTGTGTTAACCTCAGAATCATAGAGCTTTTTTCCATGCCATTGGTGGATGATTCTTCTAGTCCTTGAAGTAAGTTAATGATACATTTTGAAGGGAAAACATCAATTTGAAACAATATCAGTCATCTCAAAACTTGAAATATAATTAGGTATAGAATATAATTTTTTTTCATGTTCTATATTTTATATAATTTTGGAATAAGTCTTTAATATTTAGACTAATGAAGGATTTCAGCAATTATAGATTGTACTTTATTTTCTATCATGATCAGAACTGTTTTTTAACTTACCCAGATATTGGAAAGTATTTAAGTATTTGTTTTGAGCATGTAAAAGATGATTAGTTTGACAGTTTTACAGCAAATGCTGTCAGTTTTTGAATATTTTCTTATTTGCATTATTTGACATTAGGGAAAATAAATTCAGAGATGACTGTTGCCCTGGTTTTAATTAGTACCTTTTAACTTCAATGAAATCTTCTATACTACTTTTACAAAAAATTGTCCAGTCCAACCTCTTCCTGTCCATCCCTTTTCAAAGAAGCTGATGGACCTTTGTCTCAGAGGACCTAGGGGAGACAGAGTAAGAGAAGACAAGGAGACACAATTTGAAACCTGGAAGGCAGTTATATTAATTAAAATCAAAGGGGAAAACAACCTTCCTTGCCTTTGTTCGAGTGTGTGTGAGTGTGTGTGTGTGTGTGTGTGTGTGTTGTTCTTGCAACATCACCATCAGTTTTGACTGGAAACTATTCTACTAAATGAGAAATGAGTTCAGCACATCTGACAAGTGACATCAGTTGAAGAGGTATTAATTCATTAGGGGAAAACATCAGAAAGAATTTTTCTGATTATTTTAACAATTTTAAGTGTACATAATATATGTATTTGTATAAATGCCATTTTCCCCCCAGGAATGATACATAAGTCAGAGAATAAACAAGGTGGGGGGGACCCCAAACTCTGGTACTTACATTTTTAAAATACTAGGGAATTTAACATGTTTTCCCATAGGAACTTTTTCATGTGTTGAGTAAAATGTCCAATAAATAATTTTCCCCCTTAATACTATGGTAAAATGAAGCTGACATGTTCACTTCATAGGATAGCTATGAATAATCTGGGAAATTGACTTAATTTTGACAGTAAGAATACAGTTTAACACTAGCAATAATGAACTTTCATGCAAAGTAGCAGTGCAGAATACTAGTTAAAAAATAGGTACTGGAGCCAGATTTACTCCTGTGACAAGTAACTTTTGAAGTTTTTAGATCTCATTACATTTATCTCTGAAGTGGGGTTAATAAAACAAGCATCTCCTCTGAGGGCTCATTGAGAGTAAAAAGTGCTCGGATCAGGACATAGTAACTACTCCATAAACACTAGATATTATTATTATATACCTGAGAGACCAGTTGTCCAGAGTCTTTCCTTCTACCTATTTTTCATTGAATATGAATGTTGTACATCAAAAAAACTGGATGAGGTATGGCTCTGCTAGCATGCAGAATGTAGGAACAGGAGATGAAAAAGTAGTGCCAAGGCCTGCTGAGGGAGAACATGCACACACAGAAAAGGCACAACCTTTGATTCCAAGATTATATCAATATTTTATACTTAAGTTTTAAGTTGTGGAATACATAAAGGGTTCATAAGACTTATCTTTTATTATGTGTCATCTAATCAGCATAAAAGAGAGGCAAGTATCTGTGTAACATTGAATTTAATGTTGTATCTCACATTTGGATCTAAACATTTCTTTGGGCTCTTCCAGATTGTTGACTTACCCTCATCTGTTATGTAGGGCCGGGGCTCTGGATTCCCAGGCAAGCGGAGGCCTCGAGGTGCAGGCCTGTCAGGACGAGGTGGCAGAGGCAGGTCCAAATTAAAAGGTGGACTCGGAGCTGTTGTTCTACCTGGGGTGAGACTTATTTTATTTATATTTGCTATGGTCTTTAAATGTCAATTAATGATAATGTCATTTGTAGCAAGTTATTTCTATCCTAAGAGTCACATAAACAGGCTGACTTCTTGAAATTTTACTGTATCTCTACTTTTTTTTCTTCTTGTTTTGAACCTCAGGTTAGCTTTTCTTTTATGTTATTTTTCTCATTCTTGTTGACTCTTTCTATGCCAACCTTCCCCTAAGAACCAATATGGAATATCTTTTCTCTCTTATTTATTTATTTTTTAAATCAAACAACACATTATATTGTGTTGTTTAATAGAGCTCTGAAAAGTTTATTAGGTTGGCAATTTGAGTTTTTGATTGGTGTTGCTCTCATGTTATAATAAGGCTTATAGAAGAAACTGTAATTTTTGCACATCAGTATGGATTCTAAACAGTTTTATGGCTGCCTTTGGCATATTTTAGGATTGATAAATATTTACTCATTGGCACTTCATAAAATTTTCTACAAATGCATATTAAAATGTGTTTGGTAAATATTGGCTAATATTTAATGTAGTAAATTTACTATTTCACTGAAATACTGTTTTAAAAATTCTAAATGTGATTTTTGTTTCAAGAAAGGCAAAATTATTCAATTTTATAGTTGCACAAGAAGAAAGAAAACTTGGATTCTGGTCTTTCTTTAAAAGATGCAAATTAAAAAAACAGGCTTATTGATGTATACTTGATATAAGGCTACAAATATGATATGTAACTTTGCAAGTGTTGCCGTGTATATACCCTGGAAAACCACAATACAATCAAAACAGTGAATGCATTTATTCTCCAAAGTTTCTGTAGGACCCTCTGCCTCACTTATGCTTTATACCAGTCTTTGTCCCCAAACAGTGGTTTATCTAATTTCCCTCATATGAGTAAGTTTTTGTTTTCTAGAATTATAGATAAGTGAAATCATGTAGAACATATTTTTTCTGGTCTGTTTTATTGAGCATAACTATCTTGAGGTTCATCCAGGCCGTTGCATTTGTGAGCAGTTCCTGTTCTTCTTCGAAGGTCTTGTAGAATTCGGCTGAGAATCTATCTGGTCCTGGGCTTTTCTTGATTGGTAGGCTTTTGGTGGCATCTTCTATTTCATTGCTTGAAATCAATCTGTTTAAATTATGTATGTCCTGATTCAGTTTGGGTAGATCATATGTCCCTAGAAATTTGTTGATGTCATCAAGATTTTCTATTTTATTGGAGCACAACTTTTCAAAACAGCTTCTAATTATCTTTGATATTATAGTAGTGTCCATTATGATATTTCCTTTTACATCACGTATTTTTTTTTAGAGAGAGAGAAAATTTTTTTAATATTTTTTTTTAAGTTTTTGGTGGACAACATCTTTATTTCATTTTTACGTGGCACTGAGGATCGAACCCAGCACCTCACACATGCCAGGTGAGCATGCTTCCGCTTGAGTCATATCCCCAGCCCAACATCACATATTTTAGTATTTTGAGTTTTCTCTATATATACTGTAGCTAGGGGTTTATCAACTTAAAAAGTTGACTTCTTTGAAAAAATTGTTTTGTCAGTTTTTTGAATTGTTTCTTTCATTTGATTTCAGCTCTCATTTTAATTATTTCCTGTTAACTACTGCTTTTGATGTTGATTTGTTCCTCTTTTTTCTAGGGCTTAGAGATGTTAATATTAGGTCATTTATTCATTGACTTTTTAATCTTTTAATGAATGAGCTCAATATAATGAACTTTCCTCTCAGTACTGCCTTTATAGCATCCCAGCGATTTTAATATGTTGTATTGGGATTCTCATTTACATCAAAGTATTTTTTATTTCTTTTTTTTCTTTCTTTCTTTTCTTTTTTTTTGTGGTGTGTTGCTGGGCTTGAACCCAGGGCCTTATGCATGTGAGGCCAGCACTCTACCAACTGAGCCCCGTATTTTTAATTTCATCCTTGATTTCTTGTGCTATCCCATTCATCATTCAGTAGTGTATTATTTAGTCTCCAGGTGTTTGAGTATCTTCTAGTTTTTACTTTATAGTTGGGTTTCTAATTTTATTCCATTATGATCTGATAGAATGTAAGTTATTATCTATATTTTTTGTATATGCTAATTATTGCTTTCTTACATAAGATATTGTCTATTTTAGAGAAGGATCTGTGTGCTGCTGAGAAGAAAGTGTGTTTACTCGTTAATGGATGAAGTATTCTGTCTTTTGAGTCTAAATCATTGATTGTTTTATTTAGTTCTATGGTTTCTTTATTTAGTTTTTGTTTGGAGAATCTATCCAGTGGTGAGAGCAGTGTGTTAAAGTCATCCAGTATTATTGTGTTGTGGTCTGTTTGATTCTTGAAATTGAGGTAGATTTGTTTGATGTACATAAGTGCTCCATTGTTTGGCGAATAAATATTTATGATTACTATGTTTGATGTATAATTCCCTTAAGCAGTATGAAATGTTCTTTTTGGTCCCTTCTGATTAACTGTGGCTTTTGGCTTGAAGTCCACTTTATCTGATATGAAGGTTTGGAAATCCCTGCTTTTATTTACGCAGTCCATGTGAGTGACATGTTTTTTTCCCATCCCTTCACCTTCAGTCTGTGGATGTCTTTGCCTATGAGGTGAGTCTCTTGGAGATAGCAATAGTCATTGTCTACAGTATAAAAAAGTAAGTTTGCTAAAAGCGTTCATAATTTCAAATGGTGGACAAAGCACGAACTGAAGTAGTGTAGGATGTGATTCCATTGAGGGAGGAGAGAAGATAGAAGTAAAAATTAATAGAAAAGAGTGAAAGAGAGGAGTTCTAGTCTGGTGGGTGGTGGACTGCCTGGAAGGGTGAGCTGATAGCAAGATGACCGACCTCACACCATCTTCCAACCCTCCAACCTGATGTAGCCAGCCCCATCTGTCCCTGAGTACTTCAGGACCGTGGAACTTGGGAGAGCCTGGCTCTCTCCAGTCTCGCCAACCTGTGCTTCCCCTGGGCAAAATTCTCCAACTTTTCACAGGACCATCTGGCCCAGACTGATCCAAGACAATTCAGTCACTATCTGACAGATCTGGGCTTCAGACATCACAGGCTCTACCTCACTGCAGCCTTAAGATCTCAATGATGTTCCAATTTGCTGAGACCACCATGGGTGTACTCACACAAAGGGGTGACCCTAGGATGAAGCAGTAAGATGGTGGTCACTAGCACTCCCAGCAGGAAGACCTCAGTTGTAGACAAACCCATAGGCACCTCAATGCTGGACTTCTAGGTCCTGGTCAGTGTCTCCAAAGTTGGCTGCATCCCAAGATGGCAGTGGCAGGAAACCTAAAGGCATCTTGGTCCCCCAGGACCTGGCTGGTGTCCCAAGATGGAGGTGGTCACCTGCAACCAAATCTGCATGCACTCTGGCAGTAGATCTCCAGGTAGCAGTTACAGCAAGTGGTGGCACCCTGAGAATAAGCAGGGTGGTGGCAGGGCTGTGGCAGCTGGTTGTTCTTAATTTAGCCATTCTCATAAGGAGGTGACAATGTATTAATCAGGGTTCCCTAGGGAACAAAATCAACAGGAAGTAGGATTATGAAAAATGGATTTATTAGATTGGCTTATAGAACCAGAAGCTGGAGTGTGCACTATGACCATCTGTAGGGTGGAGAACTGGAGGAACCAGTAGCTGCACACTGTAAAAGGTTGAAGCCTCAGAACAAGAGGGTTCAAAGATGCTACCCCAGCCCAAGATCAAAGGCTTCTGGGAACTCCCTGGAGAATTCACTGGCAGAGATCACTTTGAAAGAGTGAAGGAGGGAAGAGTCTGATAGCTTCAGGTGATCGCAGGCACAATTAAGATCCAGTCAAGAAGATTTGAGCTTCTATCTGCTGCTGCTTCCTTGTTCTTCCAACTTTTATTGCATCCAGGCCACCATCCTTTTGGATGGTGCTGCCCACACTTAGGGAGGGGCTGCACTTGATTTTGCTATCATATATGCCAATCATTCTTTGACAATGCCTCTTGATCTTTGACATCTCTTAATCCAATCAAGTTGACAATTCAAATTGACTGTTACTAGTCTATATCTTGTCAATTTGATGTCCAAACCTGACAATTTATATCATACTTAATCTCCAAATAAACACAATAACAAGGTGACAACTCCAACTAACATAACTAATCTTTGTACAATGGAAAATGCTGTACTGTTATTCCCTAGAGTATAAGGAAAACCAAAACAGTTACTTTAAGCCCTAATGTTAAGTCAATCAGTATTCTATTACTTGATGAATAACAGAGTAACAAACATATCATTTTATTGCATGTGTAATTATGTACAAACATATTCTTAATGGCTATAGTTTGTATTTAGGACTACCTTCTTCTGCTACCCACTCTTTATTCCCTCTACCTTCAGCAAGCACCTCGGCACATCTTGGTTCTTTCCCTGGAGGTGTGACCCACACCTTCATTCCTGAATGGTCTGAGACATTTGTTGTCTTGCCTGGATTTGGTTGTTGTAGTTTCCCATTGACCTGGATAGCAGGACAGTTTAATACCAAGCAACACTCTAAGGATCTCCTGCATTCCAGTAGTATGCTTCCTTACCTCCATTGTGAACTAATAGTCCAGTGTCTCCTTGGTAATATGAATCAATCATCCCTGCCAGTACCGTAACTCCCTCCTTAGTCTGTTGACTCAGAGACATGAGGAGCCCAAAGTGACCAGGGGGAAGTCTTCACTTCCATTTTAATGAAATCATTGTTATACCTCCCAGCAGAAGCATTTCTTCTTTTGGAACTAAGACTTCTAGGCCCGCAGAGCATAAGTTTGCAGGGATAGGAAGCAACAACTTTTCTGGTGGGTCACTAGGGGTAATGGTGAGTGGTACCATTCCTGCCTCCACCCCTTGAATTTCAGCAATAGGAGAGACAGTACCATAAAGTGGACACTGATTTAGAGTATGGAAAGCCTTCTGGAGAACATTGCCCCAACCCTGCAAGGTGTTGCCACCTAGCAGGCACTATAACTGTGTCTTCAAAAGTCCATTCCATCGCTATTTCAAACCAGCTGCTTCCGGATGGTGGGGAACAGGGAACATGATAAGACCGGTGAATCCCATGAGCATGTGCCCATTGCCTCACTTCTTTGGCTGTGAAGTGAGTTCCTTGGTCCAAAGGAATGCTGTGTGGAATATCATGACAATGGATAAGGCATTCTGTAAGTCCATGGATGGTGGTTTTGGTTGAAGCATTATGTGTAGGTAAGGCAAGTCCATACCCAGAATAAGTGTCTATTTCAGTCAGGACAAATGCTGCCCCTTCCACTTGCCACCAGGTTGATGGCTGATCTCTCTGGAGAATTGTTACCGCTGTTTACTAGTGACAAGTCCTTGCTTCCCCGAATGCTAAAGTATAACACCAGAGGAGCACGCTGAGGCAAGTGTAGAGTGGAAAGTAGAAGCTTTATTAAAGGACAGCAGAAAGCCTTCTCCCCGAGGAAGAAGGGGACCCAAAGGGGGAATCCGTGGAAGGGGGAGGTCTTCCCTCTTTTATAATAGTCTTCTATTAGTCTTCCCATACTCCTGTCTTTTGTTTCCCTTTATCTTGCAGTGATAGAATGCAGGTGGGAAGGCCCAAAAGGTGGGAGATAGGTGGGCTGGAGGAGTCCTCTGGGCAGGAAGGGCCTGGGGTGGCTTTTGATTAGCACTTCCGTGTTTGCTGGGAGCTGCTTCATTAACAGTTCCTTAGGATGGGTTCTGGGCCTTGGGGACATTAACATTTCAATTTCCTCAATGCTGATCTGCTTTCCTGGACTCTATTCTCAATAATGGTCTCCATTTTATTTATCTTACTCGATATTAGACCCGATTTACCTAGCTACACTAATACCTTTCTGTAAATCTGGCTTCAGAATGATGCCTTATCAGGAACTTAGGGTTCATCTCTGCTGTTGGCAAATTGGGCGTTCAACAGTTGCTGTAGTCAGATCAGCCTTGGTGAGTGGAAGTCCATGCTGCTGAGCCCATGCATAACCGCCATCCTTGTCACCATGACCACTTTGTTCTGAGCTCATTGGGCAATGACAGGGGTGGCTGGGGAAAGAAGTTGTCTTCTGTCCACAGATTGGGACATCCTATCTACCTGATTGTTAAAGTCCTCCTCTGCTGAGGTCACCTTTTGGTGGGCATTTACATGAGACATTCTTTGCCCATTCATAGACTTCTGTCCACGTATCTCTTCCCCAAATATCCTTGTCACCAATTTTCCAATTATTTTCTTTCCAGTTCCCTGACCAGCCAATCAAATCATTGGCTACGGCCCATGAATCTGTGTATAATCACCCATCTGGCCATTTCATGATGCCCAGTTCATGATGGGCAGCTCAGGTCGCATAGTAACTTTGTGGCCCATGGTCAAGCATTTAGTTTCCACTAAGGCCCAGTAGCAGGCCAAGAGCTATTTCTCAAAGGGAGAGTAGTTGTCTGAAGGTGATGGCAGGGCCTTGCTTCGATATCCCAATAGCCTCCTCTGTGACTGATCTGTGGGGGCCTGCCAAAGGTTCCAGACAGCATCCCTATCTACCACTGAAACCTCAAGTACCATTGGGTCTGCTAAGTCATATGTCCCAAGTGGCAGAGCATCCTGCCAAGTAGCCTGGACCTGTTGCAGAGCCTTCACCTGTTCTGGACCCCACTGAAAAGAAGAAACTTTTCTAGTTACTTGCTGGATGGGCCAAAGTAACACACCCAAGTGAGGAATGTGCTGCTTCCAAAATCCAAGTAGGCCCCCCAGGTGTTTTGCTTCTTTCTTATTTGTAGGAGTGGCCAGAGGCAACAACTTATCCTTTACCTTACAAGGGATATCTGAACAGGTCCTATACCACTGGACTTCCAGAAACTTATTGAAGTTGAAGGCCCTTGAATTTTAGTGGGCTTTATTTCTCATCCTCTGATACACAAATACTTCATTAGTAAGTTCAGAGTTGTTGATACCTTTTGCTGGGTCCAATCAACATAATGTCATTAATATAATGGACAAGTGTAATACCGCGTGGAAGAGAAAGGTGATCAAGATCTCTGTGAACTAAGCTGTTACACAATGCTGGAGAGTTGACATACCCCTGAGGAAGGACAGTGAAGGTACATTGCTGGCCTTGCCAGCTGAAAGCAAATTGTTTCTGTTAGTCCTTAGGTACAGGGGTGGACAAATAAAGCAATTACCAGATCAAGTGCTTCATACGAGGTATCAGGAGATATATGAATCTGCTTAAGCAAAGAAACCACATCTGGCACAGCAGCTGCAATTGGAGTCACCACTTGATTAAGCGTATGATAATCAACTGCACAAGCCAAATAGGAGAGTTTAATGGGGGTGTTGTGGGAATCACCACCCCTGCATCCTTCAAGTCCTTGATGATGGCACTAATCTCTTCAATCCCTCCAGGGATGCAGTATTGCTTTTGATTCGCTATTTTCCCAGGTATAGGCACCTCCAGGAGCTTCCATTTATCCTTTCCCCGCATAGTAGCCCTCACTCCACAGGGTAGAGAACCAGTGTGGGAGTTTTGCCAAGTGCTAAGTATATCTATCCTGATTATTCATACATTCTAGGACTGGGAGAATAACCACAGGATGAGTTTGGGGGCCCACTGGACCCACTGTGAGTCCAACTTTGGCCAAAACCCCATTGATCTCCTGAACTCCATAAGCCCCTATTTTACTGGAGAGCCACAATGATATTTTGAGTCTTCTAGAATTATAATGTCTAATAGTCCCCAAAAGGTCTAATCATTGTCTTTTCCACAATGCACAGTTACCTTGTAAAAGGTTATAGTAAAAGGCCTTAGATCCCTTTGGGAAAGGGTGGGCGAAAGATTAACAGTAAAGAGTTTTGTTACTGTACCTGAGTTCTTCCTCAAGGGGACCTGGCTTCTCCTTCCTTCAAGGGATCTATAAATTGACTCAAATCTGGGAAGTGGATTTGGAAGGGCCTTGAGTCTCTGTTGTTATGACCTAGGGCAGACTTTTGTACCCTTGCTCTGGAACTTTTCTGCTTATTTAAGTCAAATAAGAATTTGGTGGATTTCCCGTCTATTTGGCTTCTGAAAAACCATGTATAATTAGCCAGTGTCAAGAGATCTACATGAGTAGAACATTTTGTCCTTTCTTCCCCTTGCTGTTCAGCCACTCTTTGTTGATTGAGTGCTGCCACGTGGCTTCTTCTTCCCCTGGATCCAATTGTTCCCATCTCATTTAAGTCCTCCAATTCATTGACCTCAGCTCCCAAGTAAGGTCTGGTATGCAAAGAAGAGCACTAATGGAGCTCTTCAGCGATGCTGGTGCTCCCCTCACGGATTTGTTTCTTATAGTTTTGGTAAAGGGCACATGTTCTGGACCCTCCCATTATGGGGGAGTAGGTTGTACCTGACAGATCGACTGAAGGATTCCAATTGAGCCTCTGAATTCCTTCATCAACAGTAAACCAAGAGATATCAGGCTTTTCCAGCTCATTTATATTAGATCGTCTTTGGATCCATACTTCAGCCAACCATCCAAACAATCCTTTTTAACACTTCGAGTTCTTATGTTAAATGTAGAATCTCTGCTTAATGCAACATATCAATAAATCCAGCTTAATGTAATTTTATGTTCCTTCCACCATTATCCCACATCCTTAAAATCCATTCTCACAACATGTTCCCCAGATCTCTACTTGTATGAACTTGAAAACTCAAGAAGTTTCTTGGAAGTGTAGTAAACTTGCTCATGGGCCACATTCTGTACCTTACTTCTAGGGGACTGCTTAGACTTGGATCTAATTATAGGCCTGGAGACAGTGGTGAGGTGGGTCCTAAGGAGTATCAACATTTTCATGCTGAGAAACTGAATCATGAAAGGTCTTTATTGTTTCCATAGGCAGAGCAAGATCAGTTCCCTCCACAGGAAGTGGGGAAGCCAGTGCCACTGAGGGTGTGCATAGGGATGCCTCAGTCATGGCTAAGGGTGGGAACTCAACAACTTCTGGCAAAATAAACTCATCAGAATGTTGGGGTTCAATGTCCCCAGTCCCTTCAGACTCCTCCCATATGTCACCGTCCCAATTCACAGGAACTCATATTTCCTAGAGAATCATAATGTCCGTTTTTAAGATGTTTATTTATCCATTATATGGTAATATAACTCTTTAGGTCTTCAGTTCATATTGAAATTTTGGGCAGTATTTTTTTTTTTAACTTCCTGAGTTTTGAGGGTTCTTTATGTATTCTGGATGCAAGTTCTTCATCATATGCATGATTAGTAAATATTTTCTCAGTATTCTGTAATATCTTTTTATTTTATTAACCATGCTTTTCCAAAAATGGATGTTATAATTTTGATGAAGTTTATTTTATTTTATTTTGCTATAGGTCTGTGTTTTAGGGGTCAGAAATATTGTATAATAGAAGACCACAGAAATGTTTTCTTCTTGAAGTATTATAGCTTTGGGTGCATTTTTAAAACTGATCCAATTTGACTTATTTTTTGTATAGAGTATGATTATAGATCAAAGTTCATTCTTTTGCATATTGAATATTCAATTGTTTTAACATAATATCTCTGATTTACCTCTGTATTATTCTTGAAAATCAGTTTACCGTGAATGTGTGACCCTAGTTTGGAATTTTTATTGGAATCTTTATGCTGTATGATTTGATAGATTTTTCTGTCTATGGGCCAGTATTGTACTATCTTGATTACTTCTGAATGACTCTTGTAATCAGAAACTGTTTGTCCTCTGATTTACTATGTTTTCCAAGTTTTTTGTTTTATACTAGGCCTTTTCCATTTCTATACGAATTTTAGAATTAGCTTTCCAGTTCATACAAAGACTTCTAGGATCTTGATTGAATTCCCTTCAAACTATAGATCAGTTTGGGGAAAATTGACATTTTGACCACAAGAATATATGTTTCTCTCCATTTCTTTAGGTCTTTAATTTCTCTTAATCATGATCTATAGTTTTTATACACATCTCTAATGTTTTCTCAGATCTGTCCTTAAGTCATGTAGTTTTCATTTCAGATTTTGGTTCTTGACTGCTAGTATGTAGGAATACTGCACATTTTTGTGTATCGATCTTACATCCTACAACCTTATTTAAATTCTCTATAGTTGCTTTTTTGTGAATTCATTAGAATTTCCACACATAGAACCATGTTTGCTACAGATAAACTGTTATATCTTTCTTTTAGAGGCTTTCTAATTTTCTATTCATTCTATATCATATTTCCTTTAACCTCCAGTACAGTATTGGATAGGAATAATATCATTATCTTTGTCTTGTTTGAGAGAAAGTATTTAGTCTTTCCTCATTAAGTATTCTGTTAGCTCATTTTCCTTTTTTTTTAATATTTATTTTTCAGTTGTAGTTGGACACAGTACCTTTATTTGTTTTTATGTGGTGCTGAGGATCAAACCCAGAGCCTCACTTATGCTAAGCGAATGCTTTACCTCTGAGCCACAACCCCAGCCCCTCATTTTTCCTTTTTAATAGACATCGTAAGTCAGTTTGATGAAACACCTTTCTGTTGGTAATTTGATGAATTAAATTAAATAGGGGGCCTGGGGATGTGGCTCAAGTGGTAGCATGCTCGCCTGGCATGCGTGCGGCCCGGGTTTGATCCTCAGCACCACATACAAACAAAGATGTTGTGTCCGCCGAAAACTAAAAAATAAATATTAAAAAATTCTCTCTCTCTCTCTCTCTCTCTCTCTCTCAAAAAAAAAATTAAATAGGAATGGGTGTTGCATTGTGTCAAAAGGTTTTTCTGTCCCTCTAGAGATGAGGATATGTTTTTTTAATTTTTTTCCAGTTTTATTGCTGTTTAATTGATAAAGCTTACATATTTAAGGTATAAAACATGTTTTGATATACATTACAAAATGATTATTACAGTTAAGTTAATTAGCAGGACACATCACCTCACATAGTTGTTTTTTGTTGGTGATGATGGTGGTAAAAAATGCCTATGATCCCCTCTCTAGGAAATTTCAAGTGTACAGCACTTTAATATAGAAAATTACGTTGATTGGAATATTTATATGCTGAAGCACTCTTTGATTTTGGTATGAGCATAATGATGACTTCATAGAATGCATGAGAGAATATATTATCTCCGGTTTTCTAGAAAAGATACATTATTGGAAATTTATCTTCTTTATATTCATAGAATTTATTATTGAAGTCTTCTTGACCTCCATATTTTTTTTGTTCCATGGTTTTTAAGTAAAAATTGAATTTGTTTGGGTTATCTAGTTTTTGTGTACATTTGTGTCTTTGAAAATATTTGTCCAAAGCTGGGCACAGTGCCTCATGCCTATAATCCCAGCAGCTCTAGGAGGATTGTGAGTTCAAAGCCAGCCTCAGCAAAAGCAAGGTTCTTAGCAACTCAGTGAGAACCCTTTCTCTATATAAAATACAAAATAGGGCTGGGGATGTGGCTCAGTGGTTGAGTGCCCCTGAGTTACCTCCTCAGCACCCACCCCCCTCCACAATTTTTTTTCTTTGTCCATTCTGTTGATAAATTTATAGACATAGAATTGATCATAATATATTTTTCTTGTGCTTTGTTGTTTGTAGAAAGTGATGTTACCTTTCTTGTTCCTCATACTGATAATTTGTATCTTCTTTTTTGCCCTAATCAATCTTGCTAGAGAATTATCAGTTTTATTGATATTCTAGCTAGCTTTTGGTTTCATTGATTTCTACTTTAAGTTGCTGTTTCATGGATTTCTAGTCTTATTATCATTGGTTTGTTTTTTCTCACTCAGTTTAGTTTGCTCAAAGTCTCAACTTTTGTAAGGTTTATATAATGACTTTTTCTTCTCTTAGGCTTGGTTTAGGAAAATTGAAATTCTCTCATTTTCAGACAAATCTGATCATGACCTGTATAGACAACAGTAGCATATGTTTTCTCAAAGATGAGCTTCTTCACCTTTGAAGTAGGTTTTATTTTTCTAGCAGTCTAAAGGTCATCAAGTAAATTATAAAATGAAAACAATAGTTTATCAAGCTAGACAATACTGTATTCTTTCTTGTATGTGCAATTATAATTCAAAGAGATCTTGATGCCAGGCAGAGTGGTACAGGCTTAGGCAGTAGGATGGCAAGTTTGAGGCCAGCCTGGGCAACTTACCCATGAGCCACAACCGTACCCTTCTTTTAAAAATTTAATAACATTTTGATAATTTCTTTGTGCTACTCAGCTTGTAAAGCGTGCTAAGTTTTCTACCTGCCTATTTTATAATGTTGATTATTTGTTACAGTTTGGATTTGCCATACTTTTACTCATTCTTCAGTGGTGAATCCTGAGGTTGCTTACAGTTTTCCCTCATAGCCATAAGAGTGTTTATGACTTTAAATTGCCCTTACTTTTGATTCTGTCATAAAACATTATTCCGCCCATTAAAATTCCTTTTAAGATTATTTATATTTTAAATGTTACAGTAATGTACTCCTTTATTTAATCTTCTTACAGTCATTCCTCAAGAAAATAATTCTATTTATGCTTTGACCTTTAGTGTAACTTGTGTTTCTGCTCTTTCTAGGCTAGATTGTAACCTATTTAAGGGAAGAAGATCATGCTTTATGATTTTAATCTTGGCCTCCTTGTTCTCTATTACAGTATGTAATTCAGAGCTTCTTCATGTTAAGCCCTCTGAAAGTTATTAACAAGCCACTAGGTCCCTGGTCAATTTGATGAAATATAATCAAGTCCACAAACAAGCATTCATGGTTGATAAACCTTAGGCTAATACTGAAATTTTGAAAGTTATTCAAAATAATATTTTAAAACAGTTCTATCTAATAGAAATATAATGGGAGCCTCTCATAATTAAAAACTTCCCATTAGCCAAATTTAAATAGTTATGATGACGAGAATTAATTTTCATGCAAATCATTTAACTGATTTTTACTATATTACCATTTCGACATGTATGTTGAATAATGAGCCCTTTGTACATTTCTTATAATTTGTTACTAAGTCTTGGAAAACTTTCAGATATTTTATGCTTACAGCACATCTTAGTGTGGAATACATGTGTATACACATATAATACAGTGTTATAGTGTATATAGACATAGTTCTTGATTAGAATTTCTGGGTAATTAAGTTATTATAAAATATAGGTTTATGACTTCTTCCTCATCTAAAGGACTTAACAACTCTAAAGAGAATAATAGAGGAATAAAAATGTGACTTGTCTATACTTTTGTGATAATATCTTGGCATTAGTACTATAATTTGGAATTCTTAGCACAGATCTTCACAAAAATTGTTTCTTGGATGTGAATTTTTTAAAGCTTTCCAGTTAAATATAATACCATGAGAAATATAACTTTCATATTTGTTGTATTTTGCTCGTTGTAGGTGTCTACTGCAGATATTTCATCAAATAAGGATGAAGAAGAAAACTCTATGCACAATACAGTTGTGTTGTTTTCTAGTAGTGACAAGTTCACTTTGCATCAGGTTTGAACTTCATCTTTTACTTTTGAACTCTTCCTTGTCCATTTCTACTTTATCCCATACACAAGATAAGCTATTAAAGTGTTTTTAAAATAAAAATAAAATTTGTGTATTCTTTCTTTGTGTGTGTGTAGTCCTGGGGATTGAACCCAGGCCCTTGTGCATGTGAGGCAAGCACTCTACCAACTGAGCTATATCCCCAGCCCAAAATTTGTGTATTCTTAATCACTGCTCTCAAGTAGATACATGTGTTCTTGATTCCAGGATATGTGTGTGGTTTGTGGCAGTTTTGGTCAAGGAGCAGAAGGACGACTACTTGCTTGTTCTCAATGTGGTCAGTGTTATCATCCATACTGTGTCAGTATTAAGGTAAGTGTGCTGATTTGAAATGAGCTAGCAAAAGCATGTTGAGTCTTTAATTGATTTGAATAGTTATGTTTCCCAGTCTTTAAAATTAATCAAGTATTTGTTATATGTATGTGATAATATTTAAATTCATTAAATATTACTTTTAAAGTGTGTTACTTCATGAACTTGACTGCTCTATTAACTTGTGGTTTTAAATTGTGAGACTTACTATGGAACCTTTTATGTAGTAATCATATACTTATTTTAAAAAATACATTTAGATATGGAAGTCTCAGTACCTCAAGTGTTGAACTAAGATTCTGTTTTTGATAACTCAGTGTGAATAAAAGTTATACATTGGAATAAAGTAACAAATGGTCACTAAAATTAAGCAGGGAGGTATAGCTGTAGAACAGGCATCCACTGTGTGCTCCATAGCCACGTCTGCCTGGTGTGAGCAGGAACCTCAGCTGAATCATCCCAAACTTACAAGTGGTCTTTAGTGCTTCTCTGCTGCCCTGCACTCATGACTGCATTACATCATTGTTTGCTCACGTTGTCAGTATTGGGAACAAGTCAGCATGTACTCCCTGGAATTCTTTGCTGATATATACACCAGTGTTTATTTTCTTGGATAATATAGGTTTTTGTGAATTTAGGGGTCAAAATGAAAAAGTGCAGTTGACTGCTAAATTCATTTATGTTACTGGATGTGTAGTATACTGAAATTATTAATATTTTTCTCTGTAGGTAGGGATGAAAATTGAGTTAAAATAAAACAGACTAACTTGTAATGAAACGGAAGAATAGAGTACATTTATTTTCTGTTTAAACTTTATCTCTTTAGTAAGATTTCTCCCAAGAAGAAAGCTCGGCATTTTGAGGCATATTATCTTACTTTGTAATGCCAAAAATGAATTTAATTAATGTCAGTATTCAGGTTTTGTCCTTTAATATACTTAGTAGCAGGGCCTTCTACAGTTTTTTCTCTTTTAAATATGAACATTAGACCAATTTCCACTTCTTTTGGATTTTAAAGAACAACAACTGAAAAAGAAAAACCCTTTGCATTTTGGTTATTTTTTTTTTCTTTGCTTAAAAACTTCTCTTAAAGAATATTCCTACCTCATTAATTAGTCAAGATGCTGTGATGATGAATCTATTCTACATAATGTATTTAGAAACAAAGACTTCGTGGGAAAAATGAAAGTACATCTTGGCTTAGCTATTGAGGAGAAAAGAGAAAGAATTGAATATTGATTATTTAAGTGTTCTAGACAGATTATGTTAGAATATTATAAAAGTTTGAAAATTAAAAAATGGCTGACCAATATTTAGGTATTCTCCTGAAATTTTTTGTGGTTCACTTTTTATGGAAATTAATAATAGTGAAGCACTCAAGTTTTTTAAGAAAGTGTTTTTCCAGATATACTCTAGTATAAACATGCACATAGTCACAAATATGTAATTCTGTTAATTGTGGAATGCCTGTACGCTTTGTTTGTACATCTTCCATGGAGATATCAGTGAATATGATTCTCCACCTGTGAATATTTTAAATGTTGAAATAAAAGTAAGAAATGTGAAAAAAAAAAAACAAAGTACAAGTACTAGTACATTTATTTCATATAGTCTTTTAAAAAATTACAGAATATTGAACAAAAAAGAAACACAATACACATTATATAAAGCTAGTTTTAAAAATAGAATTATATGTGCCTAGAAGAAAACAGGGTTTCATTTCTTCGTTGCATCTTTTATAGTCTAATTTTCTAAATTGACTTTATAATACTTACACTTCTGATCTAAGGTCATTGAATAAGACCTTTCAAAATAGAAATTCAAGTTCCATGGGCTTGATGCTTACAGATTTTCTTGCTTAAGATTGGTAGCAGTTTTAGAAGAAGTACAGATATAAGACTCATATTTAGAGCTTCTGTGAATTTCTTTTAACCCTTTCAACAATTAATTCTGTTTTTATTGGTGAAGTAAAGCTTATATAAGTTAAGACCTGACAGCCAGTACATTGCAAACACTGGTTACTGGCAGAGGTAGGATTTAAGTCTGTTTTCCTAAGTATGTGTGGCTCCTTTTGTACCCTTGACACCATTCTGAGTAGTACAGAATACTAAAACCTCTGTGATTGTGAAATCTATGAATATCTGGAACTATAGTAGAGATGTGAATTATTTCAGCTTCGTCTTTGTTGTGGAAGGCAGTTATTTGTGTATACACTTATAATCTTTCTTGGGTTGGTCTAGAGGGCCTCCATTGTTAGGTGGATAGTCTCAAAACCTTTTTGGTTTAGAACCCTTAACAGTCTTCAGAGTTACTTGAATAAGTTTGTTTATGAGGATTCTGACTATTGAATACGTGCCATCTTAGGAATTGAAACTGGGAATATTTTATAACATTTTATTACTTGTTTTAAAAATATATTTATAAAACTATAAATATATAAAAACTATAAAAATATAACTTGCATGACATTAATGTTGTTGTGACTCATCATGTAGCCTTGGAAAATACTGCTGTAGAATTGTGCATGCATTAATGTTCAAGTGACAAATTACATCTTAGTGTTGTGAAAACTGTTTTGCCCTCTAGGCAGCCCTTGGTAACTGCCATTCTAGAAGTGGTTTAGTCTTACTTAAAACATGGCCTTTGCTGGGTGTTGCCTGAATCCCACCACTCCTCCCCAGGGCCTTCACACTCTTGACTGATTGGGTATCATGTGTCTCCAGTCCTGTGTTAGCCTCCCAGTGGTTGTTCTTCCACTGCCTGTGGTCCTTGATCTGCCTTGTACACGTGCAGCTCAGTGGTCATTCAGGGCCTTCAGGAGAGTTCTCTGTAGATTTCCGGAGCTCTCATTCTATTGCTTCTTTCATTTTAGTATTATGTCCTGCGAATTCTAACTGCCTCAGACTTTCTGAACTTACCATGTCTTCTGAACTCAGTGAGACTTTTGTACCAGGGCTGTCCCTTCCTGGGTAGTGTTGTGGAAGAAGTTTATAGTCACATTAACATAGGACTGACCTTACATGTTTCCTTCTTCTCAGACACCACAGTCATGTACTCCATGGTGTCTAGTATCTGAAAGCTGTGGTTTCATGCATTTTGGTCATTTACCTGGTTTCTTATTATGGGAGAGAGGACAGGTCCCAGTTCATCATAGCTGAAGCAGATACTCATTGCAGATTCTGAAACATACCTGTCACAACTTCAGACATGGTGCCATAAGTAGAACCCGAAGAGCTTTAAAAAATGAAGATTATACCAGTTCAATAGAACAAAGATGAATCAATGGCAGACATCTGTCATCTAGGGTCAGAGGCAGTTCGGCACAGCCAGGCTCATGTGTCAAGTATGGTGGCGCACACACACACACACACACACACACAAAGTATGGTAGCACAGTCGTACTACTATGTCAGTTGTATTGGGAAGCCAGAAGGTCTTGATCGGCCACAGCAGTTTCGGTGGACATGGCTGGAAACCAGACTGCTACACCAGGAAGAGTGAATAAAGGACCGGGAGTGGCTCAGGTGGAGCACTTCCCTAGATGCAGTGGATCCTGGGTTTCATCCCCACCCCACTTGTCCCCAAAGAGAGAGAACATAAACTGAGTAATTAGAGAATTTGGCTATAAAGGACCATGAAGTAGGCTTCTATGAAATGGAGACCCGTTTCAAAAATTGTACAATTTTAGATCTGCCTCCCACTTTATCTGTTCTAAGCAGGGGTTAGTGTACCATGGCTCGCAGGCTACATCCGGCCCACTGCCCACTTTGGCACATAAACTTCCTTTATAACATAGTGGTGCTCTTTGGTTTACATATAGCTACAGTGGCTTTTGCTCAGCCATGGCAGACTCTGTAGTTGCAAAAGACACATGGCCCAGAAAACCTTGAGTGTTTACTGTCTGCCCATTTACAGAAAACACTGGGTGACTGCTACCCTGCTTTTCCAGTCTCTTTCTTCAATTTGGGTAAATGATAAATTATAACTTGGTAATCTAAGGCTAATTTAAAAAACTAACAGAATAATCAAAGTAATACACATACATGTTTTAAAATAAAAAATCAAGAGCTTTGATGGCTCTGTGGTGCACACCTGTAATCCCACAGATTTGGAAGGCTGAGGCAAGAGGATCACAAGTTCAAGGCCAGCTTTAGCAATTCAGCAAGACCCAGTCTCAAAAAATAAAAAGGAGGATAAAGGTTTATATTTTCTCGCATATGTAGAAGCTAGTGGAAAAAGGAAAAATGGGGAATATTTCTTGAAAATTGAAAGGAGATCAGTAGAGCACAGGAAAGAGACCTAGAGGAGAGAAGAGAGGAGAAAGGGGAAATACTGGGGAATGATGTTGGTCAAATCATATTGTTTTATTGTGTGCATGTACGACTGTGTGACATTAGACCCCATCATTATGTGCAACTGTAATGCACCAATAAAAATATGGAAACAATAAAAAAGGAGACTGGAGAGGTAGCTTAGTGATAAAGTATGCCTGGGTTCAATCCCCAGCACCAAAAAACAAATAAAATCCTCATGCTGAACATCCAGCCCCTGTCTCACTCTCACTCCACACTTGAAGCAACCACTTCTATTCCTTTGGGGACTCTGTTCCTGTAAATAATTCTATAATTCTTAATAATAGCCAGTGCTACCACCTTATCAGTGTTAGAGATTGTTGACTTCCTGATCTGAATAAATGAGTTCTGATTTAACTCAGCCTACATTCCCTGGCTCCCCCCAGCATTCTCTCAATATAGCTGTTACTACGTATATTAATAAAGCTGGTTATGACTCAGTACATGTTTGCTGCAGAACTAAGTAATATGCTGTGACTTTGTTTTTCATGGAATTTTTGATAGCAAGAAGATGAATATTATTAGTGACTATTCTTATTTTGTCATTGTTTTTACCTGCTATAGACGCACCATCACATCAGATTATTTGGTCATTTCCTTTTTTTCCTGGAATAGTGCTCCTTCTTCCAGAACCTATTGCTCCGCTCTTCTCTGTGCCAGAAGCTCCTGGGTGTGGCTGTGTTGTCATCCTTAACCTGGGCTCGTGTTCTGTGGGTTTCTTGCTTTTTAAATCCTGCGTCTTCCTTTTCTTGGTATGTGTCCTCAATTCATTCCATGTATCTCCAAGGAACTTTCTTAAGAGTATGGTGGAACTGAAAGCTTGAGTTCTCCTGTGTCTAAGTGGCATTCTACTTTCTTACCAAGTTGCTTGTTTAGGTAGGTGAAAAATTGTGTGCTGAAACATTTTCCCGTTTCAGAATTTGGGAACTCCTATTCTCCTTTAGTATCTGTGGTGTTGGAAAGCTTGATGCCATCCTGGTAGTTGTTCCTTTGAATTTAACTCTCTTTTTTTCCTTCCTGGGAGCTTTCAGATGTTCTTATTCTACACAATCTGAAATTTTTACATTGTTTTGCTTGCTATTATATTGTGATGCAGGACTTGAGTCTTTTGAGAGCTTTCAGAGTTGGTACCAAATTGATAATAATGCATGATATGGCTTCTTCAAGGAGTTTACCAGGAATCTAGAGATTTTCAAAATTTCTGCTAACTCAGACCCCAGAGATAGGAGAATAAAGATAGGGGTGAAGGTGAACTTCAAAAATCCTAGCTTCATGGCCTAAAACTCCTTGAAGACCATACAGTGTCACTGAGAACTCGTGTTTTACCTTGACTTATTTATTTTTATTTTTCTCTTAGCATTTTTATTGATTTTAATAGACAAGTCCCCATGCCATGTATACAAGCTGAAGAGGCCTGGGATGAATGAAAATAACACAGATGGAGAGTTAGTGACTATAGTTTCAAATCCTGAGTCAATAGTAAAGGGGCAGCTTACATGATTTCTTTAAAATCAAGTCACCATGTCTATTGAAATAGTGAAATTAAATCTACAGCAATAGGTAGTTGTATGGACTTAGAAAGTCATCAGACTGTGTGCTGCTTTCAATTATCCTGCTAGACCGGTGGGCTCCTAGAAGTATTTGAGTGTGCCCTGCCCAGTATTGGGCCCCCAACATTAGCTGGCTGTTTGCCTCTCTTCTGCTTCTAGGTACATAGGCTCCAGTTTACTTATAATAGTGTTGATTATGTAAAATGAGATCTGAGTTAATATAGAAATCATGGTATGGTGGTGTCTTTTTTACAGATCACTAAAGTGGTTCTCAGCAAAGGCTGGAGGTGTCTGGAATGTACTGTGTGTGAGGCCTGTGGGAAGGCGACTGACCCAGGAAGACTCCTGCTGTGTGATGACTGTGACATAAGTTACCATACCTACTGCCTGGACCCACCTTTGCAAACAGTTCCTAAAGGAGGCTGGAAGTGCAAATGGTATTCTAGCATTTGTGTTCCCTTGTCAATCTTTCAGGTGCAGAACTTTCTTGCATCATTTCAGTTTGAAAAATTAGCCATGTGTGTTTATCATTATGTAGCACACATTTGCTATCCTAGATATTATCAGAAAAATTTTCACATGTGTTTTAAATGATTTCCCCTTATTTTGTCCATTTGTAGCTTCCTGAGTGAAGTGACTAAATATGTAAATAAAATGGGAACTTTTGGGGGGATTTGGATTTCAGGTGTGTTTGGTGCAGACACTGTGGAGCTACATCTGCAGGTCTGAGATGTGAATGGCAGAACAATTACACACAGTGTGCCCCCTGTGCCAGCTTGTCTTCCTGCCCAGTCTGCTATCGAAACTACAGAGAAGAAGACCTTATTCTGCAGTGCAGACAATGTGATAGGTACTGTGCTGTTCTTCAGTGTAATCAAAGGAACTGAGAAAATAACTTTTCCTTTGATCACTTATTTAAGGGACAAAACTTTCTGCTTTCCAAATTTTTAATCAGCTAGGAGCTTACAGAAGTGATTTTCTGGTTTAAATTCTTGATTCTGAAGATTTTTAACGGGAGCCTTTTTGAAGGTTTATGAATCCTGTAGAATTAAATACAGAATTATGTGCATTTTCTTATGGAGGGTTTCTGATTCTCTTACTAAGTTCTATAAATGGTCTCACAGTTCTGTTTTTTAAAACTAGTTTTACTTAATGCTCTAGGTAATAAATAGCTAGATATTAGATAAATATTCTTTCTCTTCATAAGTAGTATGTGTGTGTAGCTTCCAAGAATATTTTCTTTGGTATAGTATTATGCCCTGTTTGCAGTTAAGCATTGTACACAAAATATCAGTAACAGTATTATTGCGTTAGAACTCTGCCTACAAACTGTGTCCAAGTCCAGACAATTCCTTGCCTTATTTCCCAATTATGGTTGCACATGACTTTATGTATAGAGTTATAGCTACTTCAAGTCAGATGTATCCTATAGAATACACATGTACCATACCATTGAATTCTTTTAAATCCCTTTGTGCTTACCCTGACTAGCTTCATTGCTGTCTTTAATAATTCAGTATATGAAAGAAAAAACAAAAAAAAAATCAGACTATGATCAGAAAATGTTATCATACCCTTGTTAGATAATGCACACCTGTTTCCTCCCTAGTACACGATCTCTTATCTTTTCTGCATCATGAAATTTCTTATGGGTCAATAGTTATATGGGATAGATAGTAGGAGTATGTAAGGCTTAGGGCTTTTAAATTTGAAAACTATCAATCAACTCCTTGTAGTTTTTAAAAGGAAATGGCTCTTAATGTTCAATTCCTTTTAAATGTATTAATATGGTTTTTTTAGATGGATGCACGCAGTTTGTCAAAACTTAAATACTGAGGAGGAAGTGGAAAATGTAGCAGACATTGGTTTTGATTGTAGCATGTGCAGACCCTATATGCCTGCGTCAAATGGTAAGAGAACAATTTAAAGTAAGAGTCCATGCTGTCCTGCAGCTCACTTACACATTGCTGTCCAAGATGAATTGTGAATCTATTATTTGGACAAGTATTTTATGGAAAATGTTATTTTGTGTATTAGATTAATTCTTATTAATTCTTATTATCCCAACCGAAACTGAAACTGTGCAGAAAGGGAGAAAACGAAGCATACATACACCTACCTGTAGGATACAGCTCTGCCTACGGGGAGCATGCTCTCTTGGCACAGCCAGCAGCATGGAGCAGTCCAGTGTACTGCTCCTTTCTCTGCCCCTTTCCCAGACACATACTGTCTCCTTCACCATTCCTCCTTGCTGCGTTCAGTTCCTGTTATTTTAAAGTGCTGTTAGCACTCTGTAGTATCCAAGCATTTATTTCAGTAAAATGAGTGTAGAAGCTGAATTTTTAATCACACGTCTTTAAATACACTTTTTTTCTGGAAAAAGAAAATTACCTGAATTCTTTTTCATTTCAGTGCCTTCCTCAGACTGCTGCGAATCTTCACTGGTAGCACAAATTGTCACAAAAGTAAAAGAGCTAGGTAAAATTTGAAATGCTTTATTTGTTCTTTAGAAAAAGCTCATACATGCTTTATTTTTATATAATTAACTGGCTTTCCGCATACTTTATCAAACCTACCTTAGTCATACTAGTGTTCATTGTAAATTTCCTGATGTTGTTAATTTCTGTAATTGACATATAAAATGTTCATCTTATCTAGTTTTACTGGGGTAGTATTCCAATAAATTTCACCAAATTGACAATGAAAATAACAATACTTAGAGTAGCTATTAATGCCTTGCTTGCTTTGGCTTTATCAATATATTATGGTGCTTAGTTATCATTGAGCAGAAAAGAAGGCCTAGTTAGCAAACAGACTCCATTTGAGTTAATTCAGTGTTGTATTGTTCTTGTTTTTCCACAGTAGCCTAGAATAGTGATTCATATATTATTATTAAACAGTTATTCTTGTGTTTTATATACTGTGGTGCAAAGACATTTGGGTGGTATAGGAATTATTCTAATGAACAGTGGTTTTGTACATTTAAAAGTGGAACCTGCAGGATTTGTACACATTGACTCCCTTTCCCTGAAAGTGAGTATATCAATGGTTTGGTTTCCCAATGGGCTTCTAGAGTGTTCTTGATGCCTGATGTGCATTGCCTCCTTTCTTTGGTCTTTTCTAAGAAGAGGCTGATGGTCCAGCAGCTGGCATACTGCTTGCAGCCTCAGGGCATTTCTTCTAAGTCCTATGTGACACGTTCACACAGAGATGCCAGATTGAAAACAAACTTAGAGGCAGCCCTTCTGCCTGTCAGCCAGGAAGATTTGGCCAGTTGTTCCCAGTTTTAATTATTTATGCATTTCATAGTTACTTGCTATATGAAACTATTGTTGCATTCCTTTCATGCATATTTTGGAATAATTTATCAGTCAAATCTAAAATTGAAAGCTTAAATTTGTATTCTTGGGATTCTGTGATTTCAGATCCACCTAAGACCTACACCCAGGATGGCGTGTGTTTGACTGAATCAGGGATGACTCAGTTACAGAGCCTCACAGTTACAGTTCCAAGAAGAAAACGGTCAAAACCAAAATTGAAATTGAAGATTATAAATCAGAATAGTGTGGCTGTTCTTCAGACCCCTCCAGACATCCAGTCAGAGCATTCAAGGGATGGTGAAATGGATGATAGTCGAGGTAATACTGAGTTAACTTTTCTTGGAATACATGCAAAGAATTAGTGCATAAAATTACTTGGGAAACACACGTGATTTATAAGGGTAAATCACACTGCCTTTTCTAAATGCCTCTTGCTTTCTTGTATCCATCTAGAACACACTTACTTATAGAAATTTCTAGGAACACTGCATCTGTGCCAGTTGCAGAGTCAGAGAACTTGACCTCAAATCCACTAGGTACCAGCATAAGCTGCTTCAGATCCTGTAAACCTGGATGCTGTGCTTAGGTTAAGGTAGAATTTGATCTGTACATTCTATAAATGGAAAAATTGTTACGAATATTACTTCAGTTATACATTTGTATTCACAGGTACTCGTAAATCATTGATTCATAAAGCATAGATATCTTAAGATTTTCCATAGCTGAATTCTTTTAAGATAACCAAAAATTTTTACTAGTAATATTAAATTCAGTATGAGTCATGTTTTGGCTTATCTCCAGAGAAGGTCACTTTGAGATTTTTTATTTTTAGGGTTGTTTTAGTCAGTTTTTTTTTTTTCCTGCTGTGTCCAAAGACATGTCAAGCACAATTTTAGAGGAGGAAAAGTTTATTTGGGGGCTCATGGTTTCAGCAGTCTCAGTCTATGCACAGTCTGCTCCATTTCTTGGGGCTTGAGGTAAGGCAGAATATCATGGTGGAAGAGTATGGTGGAGGTCCATGGCTCACATGTTGATCAGAAAGCAGAAAGAGAATCACTTGCCAGATACAAAATAGATATCCCCAAAGGCATGTCCCCAATGCCCACCTCCTCTAGCCATACCCTACCTGCCTTCGGTTACCACTCAGTTAATTCCTCTGAGGGCATTAATTCACCGATTGGGTTGATCCAAAGCTCTCATAACCCCAGTCATTTTACCTCAATGTTTTTGCGTGAATTTTTGTGGGAGATACCTCATATCTAAACTATAATAAAGGTAATTGTTTCTTTTCAGCTGATTTAAAAATAGTTTTGTTTCATTATTGAATGTATAGTACAAGCCAGATGTTGAAAGTTATGTCATTGAACAAAGTAGATAAAATTCTCTGCTTATGGAGCTTACGTTTTAGTGTTATGGAAAAGGACTACTGAAATAAAAACCCCTCATTACATTAAATCAGTTATTTGTAATGCATTTGGTAAATATTAAGGGAAAAGTAAGCGGTTAAACAAATTGAAAGTGTAGACAATGGTGTTATGGGGTCAGATGAACTGAAAGTGATACTTAAGCACAGACTCTAAGGGGGTGAGTGTGTAAACCTCTTGATAACCTGAGGGCTGAGCATCCCAGACAATAACAAAGGCCCTGGGAGAAAGTGTGCCGAGCATTTTTGAGGAATGCTGTGAAGACTACCATGTCTGCAGAGTGAACTAAGCGGACAGTCGGATGCAATAAGAGCAGAAGTGTTGGTGAGGACGGTCCCTCTGGAGATCATGCAGGACAGATGGGTGAAGGAGTCTACATTCATCAGAGTGGAATGGGGGTGGGGTAGTCATTGAGTTTCTGAAGTACAAGGTCATGATCTCACTTGAAGAAAATCTATCTGCTGTGATGTGAATAGACAGTTAGGTTTTAGAGATGCAGTAGCTAGATCATACAGGAGGCTGCACTCATTGTCCAGGTGAAGAGCAGTCATCACCTGCAAAGGAATTATCTTTTATTCCTAATTATTTACCATCTGATCCTCACATTTCTGTAGTAGTAGTGTTTTAGGGGGAGGTTTTTATTGCTTATGTGAAAGTGATTTTCAAATACTGTGGAACAGAATATAATTATAAAGTATATCAAAACTTTTGGGTTGTGTAGCAGTAGCAGTAGCAGTAGTAGTAGTAGTAGTCGTCGTCATCCATGTGTCTAGGAGGACACTGAGAAATTTCAGTTTCCAAAGATATTAAAATCTGTCTGAAAAAGGGTTACATCCATAGTCACTTAAGGTTGGGAACTGCTGCATTTTATGTAATATGAAAGGTTTCTTGATAGCACACATTATTTTCCAACTTATGAGACAATAGAACCTTTTAAAAATAAGAGAACAAAAACCCTTAGAAAGTTTTCTATGTGGCTGCCATTGTGTAGAGAAATACTGTGAGAAATGTGTGGTATATTTCATTTTTATATTCTCTTAATGACCCTTGTCAGGGTAACAGAAAATCAATTGAAATATGACCCTTGCCTTTTTTCTGTTCATGTGGTGAGATAGTCATCTTTAATTTTATTTACTGAATCTGTCTTTAGTTTCACTGAATTTGAAAGAACATGATTGTTGTTTAATATGTTGGATGTGGAAGATGTTAATAAAGACAATGTTACAGTTGAAAGGATTGATTAAGCAATATTTTCCCCACTATTCCTTATGCTCATTTGTATCTCAGGATCTCAAAACCTTTGTGAAAGGAGAGGTGTCTTCCTTAGGGATGAGATTAATGATTGTTGTTAACTAAATAAAAATCCTTTTTTAAAATTTAGCATGCCCACACTTTGCTATCCTGAGAAAACATGTATGTATATGTGCACACACATGTTTAAAATGAGTTTTGTGGGGTTTAGGTATACTTAAACTGGAAAAAAACAAATCAAAGAGTATATACTGTTTATTAAATCAAATATTTGTTGCATTTTAGACAGTTGAGCTAACATGTTGACTATTTTTTTCCAATTAATTTTATGTATTTTTAGTACTGGGCATGCTTGAACTCAGGCATTCGTTGCACTTTCTCTTTGTTTATTTAACTTCTTCTTTTTAAAGATTCTACATATAAGTGAGATCAAAGAGTATTTTTCTATGCCTAGCTCATTTCACTTAGCATTATGTCCTCTGGGTTCATCTGTGTTGCAAATGGCATTATTCTTCTTTTTAAAGTCTGAACAGTGATCCAGTATATCTATTCAAATGTACATATGTGTATTTATATATACATATGTATGTGTTGATGTGCATTTTACAATTTATATGTTCATCTGTCTTTGGACACAGAGGTTCTTTCCATATTTTGGCTATTTTGAATAATACTGCCATGAACTGAGGAATGCAGATATTTCTGTGAGGTGCTGATTTCATTTTGGTATGGGGGTTATATATCCAAAGGAGGGGTTGCTGAGTCTTGCAGTAGTTGTATTTTTCTTTATTTTTGAGAAACCTCTTTACTATTGTTTTCCACTACAGTTTCCCACCAGCAGTGTATAAGGGTTCCCTTTTCTCCATATCTTCATATTCAGGTTATTTTTCATCATTTGGTTAAAAGCTCTTCTAACAGATATGAAATGACATGTCACTTTGATTTTAATTTGCATTTTCCTGTTGTTTGATGATATGGAGCACCAGTTATATACTTTTGCCTCATTCTAGTCTTTGGAAAAATCTATTCAGGTCCTTTGCCCATTTTGAAATTTTTTATTAGAGTAAGCTCTAATACATAGTAGTTGGGTTCATCCTGATATACTCATACATGCATAGAAATCAATTTTGATTCATGATTCCCCCCTTCCTTTTCCTATTTTTAATTGTATTTGTTGCTTTGTTTTATTTTTTGCTCTTGGGTTGTATGATTTTTTTCCCCCATATATTAGCCCTTTATCTGATAAGATTTATGGTTTGCACATATTTTCCCCAAACCCATGTACTGCCTTCCATTATGCTAATTATTCCTTTTGCCATGCTGGAACTTTTCGTGTAACAAAGTTCTACTAGTTTATTTTTGCTTTTGATCCCTCTGATTTCAGTGAGTATCCAGAAAGTCATCGCCAAGGAACTTTCCCCATTTACTACTAGGATCTTTATAGTTCCAGGTTGTACATTTAGAACTTTAATAATTTTTAGTTGATTTTTGGGTGTGGTATGTAAATAAGCATCACATTTTATTCTTTGCTTATGAATATGTAGTTGTACCAGGACAGATTTTTTATTGAAGAGATTACCTTTTTCCCCTATTTTGTCTTTTGGTAAGTTTGTTAAAAAGGAATTGATTATATTTTTGGGCTTATTTCTGGGTTTTCTATTTCTGTTCCTGTAGTTTCTCTGGTTTTATGTTAATACTATACCATTTGATTACCAGAACTTTGAAATATAATTCGAAAGTCGGTAGTGTGATGCTTCCACTTGTTTTGTCTCCTGGAATTTTTGTGATTCTATCCAAACTTTAGAATCATTTTTTTCCATTTTTGTGAATACTGCCATTGAAATTTTGATAGACATTACGGGAATCTGAATATTTCCTTGGGTGGTACACAGATTTTAACAGTATTCTTCCATTCCACAAACATGGGATTTCTGTTTATTTATATCTTCTGTTTCTTACACCATTATCTCCTAATTTTTGTGTATAGATCTTCAACTTTTTAAAAAAATTTTTAAGTTATTGATAGACCTTTATTTATCTATTATTTATTTATTTATTTATTTATTTTATATGGTGCTGAGAATCAAACCCAGTGCCTCACACATGTCAGGCAAGTGCGCTACTGCTGAGCCCTATTCCCTGCCCAGATCTTCAATGGAATTTTTTTTTTTTTTTGGTGGTGGGTGGTGCTGAGGTTTTAACCCATGGCTTTGTGCATGTAAGGCAAGCATTCTGTGCCTACTGAGCTATATCTGCAGCCCTGGAATTGTTTTCTTTATTTCTTTTTTGGATAAAGCATTATTGGTATAAAGAGACGAAACTGATTTTCATATGTTGGTTTCATATTCTGTTGTTTAACCAAAATCACTTATTCTAATAATTTTTCTGGGAGTCTTTAGGGTTTTCCTCATATGGGATCATGCCATCTATAAATAGATATAATTTTATTACTTTTCTGACTGTGTGCATTTTGTTTTTCTTGTCACATTTCTTTTTGTAGTCCTTCCTAGTAGTATGTTTTATAGAAGTAGGTGAGAGAGGGCATCCTTGCTGTGTATCAGATATTTGAGAAAAGCTTTCAGTTTTTTTCCCACTGGAGGCTTGTTTTTGAATAGGTAATATCTGTACATGATATTAAAGAATGCCCCCCTCCCAAAATACACAGGTTCCAAAGAGTAAATGATGAAAACTTCCCAACCATCCTGTCTAAAGAGAACCACTGTTTTCTTATAATATTCCAGAGATTTGTTTTCTCTGGAATATTATTTATTCAAGTACAAACCTGTATTTATGGGAGAGTTTCTCATATATGGGCAATATGGTACTTTCCTGCATTGTAGTCTGTGGAGCCGGAAGGCCCAAGTGAAGATGCTGGTTAGGAGAATTATCAACTTCCATGATGGTGGTCATGCCAAACGGTACTGCAAATCCCACTATGTGCTATTTATCTCGCATGTGTGCTTCCTGTGTCACTGGGGGAGAGGGTCTCGCTTGTAAAGTGCTATCTTAATTTCACTGCTCCTGTGCACTCTCTTTGGAGTGAATGCATCCAGTGTTGTTTTGGACCATGAAGCATTAGACATGATTGGTTTTTGGCATTCTCTCCTTACTCTCGTCCTGGGGACTGTCTTTGTTCCTATGCTGCATCACGTGTTTTCTGTGGCTTCGGATATTCCTTTCTATTGTTCCTTGCCCTCATTTTGGTAGAGTATATCTTCCATTGTTTACCAAGAGAGAGTGAATGTAAGGAATGCATATTTGAGGAATTATACACTTCTGAAAATGTATTTATTTTACCTTCTTTCCTGCTTGATCTCTTCTAGGTTGGAAACACATTTTCTTTTCGCATTTGGAAGTCTTTATTCTGTTGTCTTTATATAAGGAGAACTCGATTCTCTGTGACCTGTTTTCTCTGGAAGCTGTTGGAATTTCAGGAAATTCTTGGTCTCAATGTTCTGTGATTTCTCTCTCTCTCTCTCTCTCTCTCTCTCTCTCTCTCTC